CACACACACACACACACACACACACACACACACACACACACACACACACTTTGGGATTAATCATGTGACATTTGCAGGGGGGCTAAGTATCATTGATTGTTTGCTTTGAGCACATTAAAAGAATACCTTAGCCTGACAATGCTGATTTTCTATTTGACTAATGAAACCAGTTTACATATTGAAATGAACTTCAAGAAGGCTTCTTTAAGTAGCTTTGCTGACACATCTGAATATAAAGTCTTGTTTTAACTTTTAAAACCAACAATAAGTAGGGATATCACTTTTATTTTAACTTCTCTTGTAACCAAATGTCCTGATCATTTAATGCCCTTCCAGTGACAAATTTTTTAAACTTTTTATATAATGTTGACTATGCATTTGTTTTTTCTTATTTTACTCTGTGCCTCACTGCCTTCTCCTAAGGAAAAAGATATGAAAAAAAAGAGAGATGGTCAAAATTTTAATCATCCTTTTGGCTTTTGTACTCCTGTTTCCCAAATACCTCTACTTTCTTGGGCCAAATGCCATCATCTGACATGCCAGACTAATGGTTTATATCTGTTACCAAGTCCAAGCTTGTACTGCTTGCTGTATGACAGACCAATACATTGAAAGATGAGTTGTTGGGACAAGAAATAGTGACTTTATTTGGAAAGCCAGCAGACTGAGAAGATGGTGGACTAGTGTCCCAAAGAACCATCTTCCCTGAGGTAGAATTCAGGCTTCTTTTACACTAAATGGGGAGGGCGTAAAATCCTAATTCCATTCAGGCTCTGGAGGGGATGTGTTTATTTTTTCCTTCCTGCAGCCATTCATAGGTATGCCTGGTCTGGAAGTTTCCTGTGAGCTAAACAAAGGTATTTTAGCTCATTACATGAAAGGCAGGATTCTCAGAGATGGTTCATTATGTATAATTTAAAGCTTCTAGGCAGCATGCCTTTAGTGATTAACTTGTAGCAAAAGCAGTAGACTACAAAGGTTTAAATAAAAAGAAACAGATCCAGTATGGAGTGGATTTGTTCTTTCCTATTACAAATCTAGTTTTAAACTGGCTTCTTTCTTTCAATCCCACTAGTTACCCAGGAAGTGGGAATTGGTTCTTAATCATTTGCCATTTTCAATAAAGCAGGTAATTATATGATCCAAATCCCTTTATCAAATGGTGAAAATATTTACTTTGCTACGTTTGTAAACTGAGTCAACAGTTCTAGTACAAGTAACTTAGATGCAAGACATTGCATTTTATTTGTGTCTTTTCTACACAGGTATGCACAATGGTGAAATGTAAATCTACTAATCTGGCAACTTGTGGACAGCCAGTAGACACTGCTCTGACAAGATTTGAAATGTTCTCCCTAAGTGGCACATTTAGAACGGAGTATGTTTTTCCTGAAGTGCTACTTACTAAAATCAATCTGGCACCTGGAAAATTTGAGGTAGGATAACTTTAAGAGTGTCTTCATTTTATCTGTTTTCTGAAGTCAAATAAAACAGTCTATGACAACTGTATCTGTTAACTTTTGCTGTGTAAGAGACTCCTCAAAATTTCATGGCTTTACACAATAACTATTTCTTTAGCCCTGATTTTGTGGTTGGTGATGTGAACTGGGTGTAGCTAGGCTGTTCTTCTGGACTAGAAGAGGCTCGGTTGATCTTGGTTGGGCTCATTCATGCATCTGCCGCTAGCAGGAGGGTTGTTTGGGGCTGGCTGATTTGTGATGGCATAGTCTTGGAGAGGTGAGATGATTGGGGCCACTCTCCCTCTGTGGTCCTTCATCTTCCAGAAAGCCTTGTCTTGTTCACACGTTAGATTAAGGAGTCCGAGAGCATAAATAGGGAAAAACACAATAGGCCAGTTCTTTTCAAGTCTCTACTTGCAACATGTTTGCAAATATCTCATCTACCAAAGCAAGTCACATGACCAAGGTAGATTCAAAGGGTGGAGAAATAAATGCTGCAGAACTCTCAATGGGAAGAGCTGTAAAATCATACTGCAAAGGGTATGGATAAAGGAGGGGAAATTTTTGTGACCATTTTTGCAACATACAGCAACTAATTCTAAAGTGATGACACATTGTTGGAATAACACCATAAGATACCTAGACCCTATGAGCCTGAGGCAACATTCATTGCAGAATATTTACTTACAGATTTTTAGTTTCTTTTTGTCACATGTGGAGACAAACAGAAAATCAAATATTTATTTCATAAACCATAGTGACCATAGCCAATTAATCCACAAATTAAGCTAGTCTCAAATTAAAATTAAGATTCTGTAGGTTTGTATCTTCTAGTCAGTACATGGCACATATACACATGTACATACACATACTCTACAAGTTTGGCCCTTAATGTCTTCACTGAACTGTGACAAACAGTGGCAGAGTTTCAGAACCTAAAGTGAAATCACTGCATTTTTTTTTATAAAAGAAAAAATAGGATGTAAGTTAATTAATCCGAAACATCAAGCAAGGAAATCTTTAAAATTGCAGATTGCTTATGGTCATATATCTGTGTCTGCCTGTTTTATCAGATTGGAATTGGTCATATTTATAAAAATATTTAATTCTGTGATACCAACAGTTCAACATACAGTGCAGCCTTAAGGCTGGGAAACCCAGAGAATGGGAATCCTTGGCTGCCATAGAACCCAGTTAGGCAGAATCTCATCAGCAAATTGAGGCTGGAATAAAAGCTTAAATGCCAACTACAGAAAATCTTGATCAGATCTGAAGTAAGGGGTCTGGAACTCAAATCCAGTAGTTGAAAGTTGGCTAGAATGGCACAAATATGTGTAAATGAACTGAAAGTTTCAGGGGCCAATTCAAGGAAGTCAGAGATGGGAAAGTACGGTTCACCCAGGTAAGCTTAGGTATGGGTGCACTATATCTTGTAAGCCCTGCCATTTACATTTAGCACACAATCTAATTTTCTGAGTATGATTTTAAAAAATAGATCAGCGGCGGCATTAGATTCTCAGAGGAGGCGGAGCTCAGGCGGTAACACGAGTGATGGGGAGCGGCTGTAAATACAGATGAAGTTTCGCTCACTTGCCCTCCACTCACCTCCTGCTGTGTCGCCCGGTTCCTAACAGGCCACGGACTGGTACTGGTACCAGTCCGTGGCCCGGGGGTTGGGGACCCCTGCCATAGATGACAAGATTTTTACATGAGTCACACTGACCATGTCTTCCTGAGTATTTCCCCAGTTTCCTTGACTAATGGACTCTCCATCAACACATATTTACACGTTATCTTTGAGGATCACTTCTGCAGAGATTCCAACATATTCATTGCCTATCTTTTCCCCATCCTTAGTTCTACGCTAAGAGCATGAAGTGTTACTGACCATCACCACAACTGTGGGAAACATCTTGCTTTAACATTGTAGGTTAACTCTGGTATATTATCAGAAGTGTGGCCTCTGCAACTAACTAGTTATGTAAGTTTGTGCAAGTCAGTTAACCTCTGAATTTCCTGCCTGTAAAATGGGGAGAATATCTTCCTCACTGATTTGGTAATGCATGTGAAAGCACTTTGTGAACAGTGAAGCATTATACAAGCATCAGGATGTATTTTTAGGTACTTACCTCAAAAGGTTTACCTAGTTAACCAAGTTCATCAACAACTGGAGGGAAAGCTTGCCAGAATTAGGCCACGTGTACTGAACATCATGTAAGTACACATCAATGTGCAGACAGAGTGGGGGAGTAGGAGGCCAGGTTCCACTGTAGATACAGTAAATCAGAATCTCTGAGGATGAGACCTATATTTTTCATAGTCCTACAGGTGATTTTGATGGGTAAAAACTACCAGTTTAAGGGAATAGTCAAAAAGGTCAAATTATCTTGAGTGTGTAACTTAGAAGGCCAGCTATATAGTATGCTATTATACTATTATATAGTATATTTTAGGAAAATTTGTAACAAGAAAACAGTAAAAAGCTAAGTTCTAACTAGAACCCAAGGGACAATCACCGATGTGGAACAATTAATTCCAAGAAGGTCAAAATAGACAAAATTTTACTATATTGATGAAAAGTCACAAGAAAACTAAATATTTGTGTTTAACTTGTTTCAAACTTTCACCCAAATGTAATTTGAAATATACCTCTGTTATTTCATTTTTGTTCTTTAAGGAACAATTTAATAAACAAGGGACTATTTAGAAACAATGAACACAATAAACAATGAAGATTTAACATTTTATATTTGTTCATTTAATTACCAACAGGTTGTGTGTTTGACGACTTGTCAGTGAGCTATGTATTTGTGTGTATGTGTCACCACAATAATCATCTTTGAGGATATTTAGTTATTTTCTACTTCTAGTTATAAAGTATCTAATTTCTCACCTTCTAAGCTCTTCCCCATCCAAACTGTCCTTCTCACAACTTATGATGAACTCATTTTCTTTAATTCTTGTTCTATCTGTTGTCTATTTGTGTTTTTTTCTATTCTTGTTCCATTACTTTGCATACATTGCTCCCTTACAGAGAAGTTTCTTGCCTTCAGGATATAGATCTGCTCATTCATGGCTTTCACAAATCCGATCCCTACAGTTCTCTTTGACCATATGGCTTAGTCTCCTCTTCAATAATCTTCAACTCCAGCTAGTGATGTGCTGTAAATTGTAACAAGCCACTCTCTGAGGAAGAAAAAGAAAAGTTCAGATTTGTGGCATTTGCCAGTTATCATGATGTAAATATTCTCACCACCATCAATTTCAAGAACAGCCATGTTTAACAACCAGCTGTCACAGTTCGTGGAGATTTAACAGTCTGTTGTTGTGAGCTTATACACCACTGGCTCCAGCACACAACTTGTTCTAACCATATTGGAGTGAGAAAGCACATTGCCTAGATCTGTCACATACATTCCTGTCTCAGAATGAGCCTTTGCTGCTTGATTTCCACTTGGCACAAAGTCTTCCATCATACAGCCCCAGGGAGAAATTCCTAACTGCTCCTTGTAGCAGACTGTATCCCACCTTGGGAAGCAGAGCAGTTCAGCTATTCCTTCTCAGACCTCCTAAGCACATACCTGTTTCTCTCTGCAATATACTAATATACTGATTTCTCTCTTTATATGTGGGATCTTCTCAGTTTCACCATTAACTTTTAAGCTTCTTGAGGGAAAGGTGTTATTTGTGTTCCTCTGGTTCCCGGTTATCTTGCATATAATTGGACTCAATAAATTTTTGCTACTGATGATTTCTGACTTTTCATTAAGGGTTACATCTGATTGTTTAAACTCAATTATTGAACCCTCTAGAATGGCTCTAGTCTTCCTTACATATAAAATAGCTGTTTCCTATCTTTCCCATCTGTTCCCCAACCCCCAACCCCAGCCCTAGCCCCCTTACCTACCATGATATCTAGGATGGTTTCAAAATCATGAGTCTGCTTGTAATGTATATTCTAATCAAGTTGACTATACTTTTCCCACTTTTTCTTTAGGTACTAAAAGATGGGCGTTTGGTAAACAAGAATGGATCATCTGAGCCTATCCTAACAGTGTCACTGTTTGGCAGATGGTACACTAAAGACGTACGTTCCATCTCAGGCGGGACCAGCAACTCAGCAACGACTTACCTGATAATATCCACATTATTAATGATCATAGCTCTGCAAAATATTGTGATGGTGTAGGACATCGCTTTATCACATTCATTGTTGCATCCCAAGTTTACTAAGAAACTTCAAATGGCTCGCTCCCCAGTATAGACCAAGGATTTCCAAATATATATTTTTTCTCATCAAGGATTATATTTAAGTGTTATGGTAATTTTGCGTCTTTTTTGGCTACGCTGAAATAATACAGTATGGTATAATGGTATAATTGAGGTTTGGGTCATGTAAATGAGGATTAATCCTGGCTCCAGCCTTATTAGCTGTGTGTGTGAGCATAAGCAGAGTGAAGAGCTTCAGGGACATTGTAAATATAGTGGTAGCCTTGGGAGAGAACAGTAATGATGGGAATTGAGACGTTTATGACTGAATTCCCTTTGACATTAAAGACAGTTTGAACTCATCTAGTTTTCTGTGCTAATGATTGGGGAGGATTTGCTTTCTAATCAGATGGAAATATAAACTCATTGGAGTTTCACTGGAAACATAAACTCCAACGTTGATGTTTATCTTAACAATGAAAGTTGTTTTGAGATGTTCTAGAAGAAATAATATCTAGTCCAGGTTAATGGGTATTCATAGCTCCAAACAGTCCTGCCTAAAGGCTGTGGTGTAATCTAACAGGCACAAATCCCATAACACAAAGACCATGACTGTTTTTTGTTTTTTGTTTTTAATTTAATTAATTTATTTATTTTTGGCTGTGTTGAGTCTTTGTTGCTGCGCACGGCCTTTCTCTAGCTGTGGCGAGCGACGGTTACTCTTTGCTGCGGCGCGTGGGCTCCTCATTGCGGTGGCTTCTCTTGTTGCGGAGCACGGTCTCTAGGCACGTGGACTTCAGTAGTTGTGGCTTGCAGGCTCAGTAGTTGTGGTTCGCGGGCTCTAGAGCACAGGCTCAGTAGTTGTGGCATACGGGTTTAGTTGCTCCGCAGCATGTGGGATCTTCATGGATCTGGGCTCGAACCCATGTCCCCTGCATTGGCAGGTGGATTCTTAACCACTGTGCCACCAGGGAAGCCCCACCATGACTGTTAATGGTAACACTATTTTCAACATTGAGTATCTGCTTTTTTAGTGATGATGAACGTATATGTATGTAAATAGTCCAAAATCACATAATCATCAAAATTGTGTGTTCTTTTATCTCTTCATAAAATATAGAACATTTCAGATTTGCCAGGTTTCGCTTGAGGAAGTTAGACATTATGCAATGGTTTTGCAATATGTTCTGTGACTCTTGGGCAACGGTATTTCACTTCCAGTCGACTGCTGAAACTAAACCCACAGGTTTGAGAAAGATACAAGCAAGGATATCCTCACAGATTCTAAGGGACAGTTCTTCCCTTCATTCACACTTAGAGCTGTCAGCTGTACTTCAACTCATTAAAAATAAAAACAAAACAAAAAAAAAATTGCACAAGTCCCAAGGAAAATAAAGAGTACTTAATTGCAAAATTGCATCACAATGTTTTAACCCATATCTCATCAGTGGTTTTCACACACCCACTGTGTTTTATCAAACAACTCAAGTAGTTTCATTTGGCATTGATTTAGGGAAATACACCTGAGGGAGTAGCTCTTTAGTTTCTAACGAATCTGATGTTAGAGTCCAGTTTCTGTGATAAGCGTCTTTCTGTCTCACCTTAAAATTTGTTAGTTCTCGAGTCTCCTGTGGTTCTGGAGGGAATAAACAAGGTGCTGGTTTCCACCTATCCTGAATTTCACCAGGATTCTTCCTAAAATGCGCTGTCACAGCTTCCCAGTTGCGGGCACCTGTACTGCAAAGCTGCTCCTTCAGTTTCCTTCCCTCAGGGCTCACTCTCTGTCTTTTGTTCTTTCATTCACATAGCATTTGTTGATTTCATACTATGTTCCAGGCACTAGGTACTGGGACATGGTCTATGCATTCTCTTTGATCTTTTTACCATTCATTCTGTGACACTGCCCCTCTCATATCTAGTCCAGTAATTTCTGTGATATATTCGCAGCCTACTCTACAAGGATCACTACCTCTACTTTCTACTTTTTTATTCCTTCTTTGCATTTTGACCCATCCTCATGGTGTTAGCATATTCATCTACATAAGTGATTTCCAGTGGCATTTTTTTCTCAGTTTTGACCTCTCTTAAATTCCATTCACATTCTTTAACTCCATTCTGACCATCTCTCTTAGGTATCTCATAGATGATAATGTTCTAAAAATATCTTAGGGCTGATGCCTGCTTAAGTAAATATGGTCATAACACACACACACACACACACACACACACACTCAAGCACTTAGCCACACACAGATACCTCTAACAAAGGCATTCTTAAAAAGATATTTGGATGTACTGAATAAAAACAGTAACAACTGGGAAGAGGATTTCTTGAGTTACTGGACCTGGAGACATGAAGTAGTACTTGGAGGAGGAAAGAAGATATTTTAACAATCTCCTAGAGAATTTCCAGGTCACTTGATGATAAGTCAAAGGAGAAAAATAATACGGGTGAACTGCATGATATTAATTTACCTGTCCTCAAATATCTTGTGACACCTCATATAAATATGGATCGAACAACCCTGATGATAGCTTTGATCAGTTATAAGAGTTGTGAGCCCTTGTTTCCCTGCTCCTCTTATGTACTTTTCATTTTTCTTTTTATCCCAGATGTTAATTTTTAGAAAGATACGCTACCCTTCACTTCTTCCTGTTGAACTCTCAAAATTCAGTCCATTAGCTGGAGACTCAGGAATTCTTATGCTAAGGTCATTTTACACTATAATTTCAATCTTTTTAATAAAATAAATAATAAAGAATGAAAATGTTTTAGGAGATTGCTAATATTGAGTTTTTCATTATACTGTTTGAAGATGAGTTTCCTAAGAGAGTCTGATTTTTATGAACAAAGAGAAAAGAGGCAAAAAGGGTCAATACTCATTTTTTATGATAAAGAAAAATGGCCGTTTATATATCTTCTAGAATCAGAAGTGCAAACTTAAATGCAGTTACCCAGGATGACTAATGAGCCAGAAGGGCTTTATAAATGAAGAGCGGGTATAGCAGACATATAAAATATTTGAATTCCAGAAGGCTAAAATGGGGGTTTTCATAGACAACTTTACAAGGACATTCACGTGGTTACCAGTGATAGGACAGGAATTTAATGTTTTGGGCATCAGACCTTACACAGAATACACTTCAGGTGGCTTTTTTGTTTGACTTTCATTCCCCACCCACCTGCATTTAGCCTGCCCTTCTCTTATCTGTAATTAGGAGGTCCACCATAGCAACTTCAAGATTACAGGTAAGGTTCCATGTGCTAGAATTGAAAAGCCAGAGCTAAAGAAATCTAAGACTTATTTAAAAATATAAGAAATGGTAGATTTTAAAGCAAAGAATGTGAGGCCTAAAATAAATTATTCCTACAAGACTTTACATCCATTTTAAATTCTTACAACCCTCATGGCATTGGTAAGTACTAGTAACACTTCATGTTATAAAAAGCATCACATTTGATATATTTACCACTGAAATGAACTTCTCAGGGACAGAAATCATGCTTACTCACCATGATGTATTTCTAATGTATGGCACAGTGCCTGAAACAAAGCTGCTGAATGAACTAAAAAAAATTACTAAGAACAGAGAGAATGGGTGCCCAGAATGGGTGTCTGTTTGTATTTAGGACATGATGGTTCTGTAGATCCTACTGTACAAGATATAAATCTTTCACTGACCAGATCACGCTTCCAATATGACCATATATGAATTTAGATTTAAGTATCTTAGCAATTCATAGAACATATCAGTGAATTGTGAGAGCACTGTCATTTGGACATGACGGAAAAGCAATTGCTTATAATTTATTCCTGCTGGGAGACATCTAGTATAAACATGCTCTTGACTACATGAAAATAGAAGTACGAAGTATGTAGTTGGAGGGCAAATATGTGCCTTACTATTAAGTCCTAACTCATGCCTCATGGCTAGGAACCTATTCATCAATTAAACATCTAACTAATTTGAAAGGAATCCAAATATACTAGAAAAGATGATAAAGTGATAGTACAAGAAATTAAGTGAAAGAATATGTACCCTCTGCTCCGTTTATGGAATAAGGTGCTATGAATAGAATGGGCTCCTTTTGTATTTCCTTCCAATTGCTTTCTTCTCCTTTCCCTGTTTGCTTTTATTAGAGGAAGTCATTATCCTAAGGTTATTTTAGATCATTCCCATGACTTCTTGGTAGTTTATTACATATGTACATAAATACCTTAGTACTATTTTGCATTTTTTAAGATTTTGTATACGTGGCATCAAATTATACATATCATTCTGCATATTTTTTATTTTTACAAGAGAAACTTTGAGCTTTATCTATGCAAACAAGCATCAACCTACCTCATGCATTTTCACACTGTACGTTGTACAGTTGCCTTAGTGTGCCAGTTATTCAGCTATTGTCTCTCAGCTCCAAACCCACCTTTCTGTATTCTTCTTTGTGATGATGAAGCTGGGACTAGGCAAACATATTTCTCCTTTGTCACCTGGCGCCCTGTTAGGTTCTGCCAATAGAAGACGCTAGAGGGAAACGGAAGATTGGACGAGGAGTGGAGAGACTTCTGTTTGCTCACCTATCAGTGTCGTCCCATCATCAGTAACGTACCTGACAGCAGTAGTTTGTTCCAGTAGCACTTGGTTCTAGTTTTCAGTTTTTTCCATACTTTCAGAACCAGCGTCATTACCCTCCCTCAAAAATACCGGCACCGGGGCTTCCCTGGTGGCGCAATGGTTGAGAGTCCGCCTGCCGATGCAGGGGACACGGGTTCGTGCCCCGGTCCAGGAAGATCCCACTTGCCGCGGAGCGGCTGGGCGCCTGAGCCATGGCCGCTGAGCCTGCGCGTCCGGAGCCTGTGCTCCACGACGGGAGAGGCCACAACAGTGAGAG